TCTAGTGAGGAGAACTCTCCACTTTGAAAGAGAGTACATCTGACTTCAGGCTAGGCCTAATTATTAGAAAGTTATTTTCCCCTTCCATTGAGTCGAAATCAATATCTCTGTACCTTCCAATTCTCCTGATGCTAACTCCTGGAGAAAAGCAGAAGTCTAACACCTCTTCTACTTCTCAGCCCTTCAAATACTAAAAGGCAACAAACATTCCCCACCCAAAAAGTCTTCTCTTCTCCAGGTGACACATCCATTGATGTTCCTATGGCAGGACCTAGAGCCTGCTCACCATCCTGTATTCACACCTCTGAATCCTCTCTACATTATCAAAATTGTTTTTAAAATGTAGGGATGAAAACAAGAGGTGCATATAAATAGAGAGAAAATGTGTCTGTTCTGAGGTACAGGCATAGTTGGCCCAAATGTATGATTTGATTGGTGGAGGAAACTCAGTGAGAAAACTCCCTTTATCAGTGCAAATCATCAATTGGTCTCAAACTTCTAAAGGCTTTCTATGTGCCAAGTGGTGAGAATATGACAAAAAGAAAGAAAGAGAGACAGCTCCCTTTCTCAAGAAGCTTGCTTACTGAGTTTTAGGAATATTTCTTTTTCCTACTTTGTGAAAGTAAAAATCTGAATGTGTCACAGGCAGTCATCTAGTAACCATGCATTTATTAACTGCTTGCAATGGGTCAGACTACTTGTTCATTTGTTCAGTCATGTCTGGCTCTTTATGACCCCATGTAATGTGTCTGACCCCATGTACCAGAGCACAACTTTTATCCTTCACTATCTCTCAAAGTCTGTCCAAGTTCATGTTCGTTGGTTTCCATGATACTATGTATCCATCTCATCTTCTCCCATCCCCTTTTCCTTTTGTCTTTCCCAACATGAGACTCTTTTCCAATGAATCTCATCAGGTGTCCAATGTAGTTAAGCTTCAGCTCCAGTATTTGACATTTCAGTGAATATTCTGAACTTATTTCTTTAAGTATTGACTGATTTGATCTCCTTGCTGTCCACGGGACTCTCAAAAGTCTTCTCCAGCACTATTTTTCAAAAGTTTTGATTCTGCAGTGCTCAGATTGCCTTATAGTCCAGCTTTCACAGCAATACATTATTACTGGAAGAAACAGTAACTTTAACTATATAGACCTTTGTGGGCAAGGTGATATCTCTTCCTTTCAATATGCTACCCAGATTTGCCATAGCTTTCTTTCCAAAGAGCAAGTGTCTTTTAATTTCATGTCATATAGACATCATCTGCAGTGATTTTTGAGTCCAAGAATATAAAATCTGACACTGCTTCCATTTCTTCTCCTTCTGTTTGCCAGGAGGTGATGGGACCAGTTGCCAAGAACTTAGGTTTTTTTTTTTTATATTAAGCTTCAAGCCAACTTTGACATTCTCATCTTTCACCTTCATCAGGAGGCTTCTTAATTCCTCCTCTTTTTCTGCCATCAGAGTGATATCGTCTACACATCTGAGATCATAAATATTTCTCCTGGTCATTTTGATTCCAGCTTTTGATTCATGCAGCCTGTCATTTTGCATGATGCACTATGCATAAAAGTTAAATAAATAAGGTGACAACATACAGCCTTATTGTACTCCTTTCCAATCTCATACCAATCAGCTATTCCATGTTCCATTCTAACTGTTGCTTCTTGACCCACATTCAGGTTCCTCAGGAGAGAAGTAAGATGATAAGGTATTTCCATCTTTTTAAGGACATACCACCTTTTATTGTGATTCACACAGCCAAAAGTTTTAGAGTAGTCAATGAAGCAGAACTCAATGTTTTTCTGGAAATCCCTTGCTTTCTCCATAATCCAGCAAATGTTGGCAAGAAAAACATAGGAAAAAGCAGGGTCAAGGAATTGATATTCTTATGGATTAGACAACAGGCAAACAACTATGTAGAAACAAAATTATACAGAAAGAATCTCAGAAGGAAGGCACTGGAGAAACGGGGAGCCAGAAAAGGCTTCCTACAGAAAGAGGAATTTGAGCTGAATGAAGAAGATAGTAGGTGAAGGCAAATAGGGATAAGATTCCAAGAATGGAGACTGTTAGTTAAATAGCATGGAGTAAGGAGGTGGAGTGGAGTGTGTGAGGGAAAAGCAAGAAAGCAACTTGTTTGTAGACCCTAAAGAAACAGTGTAAGAAGACTGGAAAAGAAGGAAAGGGCAGCCCTGAAAAGACTTTAAAAGATGAAAGGAACAACATTTTATGGAATGGAAAATATAGGGAACTATTGAGGTTACTGAATAAGAAGTTAACTTGCCTAATATTCAGCCCAGTGCTTAGGGAAAATTAATTTTTTGGCCTAGTGCAGGATGGATTGGGATGGGGAAAGACTTGAAGAAAGGAGACCAACTAGGATGCTATTTCCATAGTCCAGGTGATAAGAGACTGTTTCACTGTGCTGAATATAAGACGATCCCAATCTCTCTCTCTCTCTCTCTCTCTCTCTCTTTCTCTCTCTCTCTCTGTCTCTCTGTATGTGTGTGTGTGTGTGTGTGTGTGTGTGTGTGTGTGTGTGTGTACAAGAGATGCTGGAAAAGTAGAGATGTGAAGACTTAGCAATATATAGATTATGTGGAATGAGTTCAAGAAAGATGACACCTAAGTTGCAAGGCTGGGAGTATGGTAGGGCCCTCAATAGAAATAAAGAAGTTCAGAAGAGAGGAGAGTTTGAGAGGAAAGATAATGAGTTCTGTTTAGATATGATGAGTTTAAGATACCTGTGGATCATCCAGTTTCAGATGTCCAAATGTAAGTTGATGATGTGAGACTGGAACTAAGGAGAGGAGTTGGGGCTGAATATATTGATCTGAGAATCATCAGCATGTAGATAATAATTGTACCCAAAGTAGATGATGAGATCACTGAGCAAGAAGGTATAGCTGAAGAAGAAAATAAAGCTCACAAAAGAACTTTGGGGGAGCCCCACACTTGGTCATTACCTGGACGAAGAGAGAAAAATCTATAGGAGTGAAAAAAGGAAAAAAAGAAAAAACCTGTAGAAGAGAAAATATAAAGGACAAAAGAGTGATCACTAGGATAAAAGGCTGGAAAGCTCAAAAAGGCTAGAGTTTGAGAGAAAACCATTACATGTAGCATTGGTGACTTTGGACAGATCACTTAAATCCAGATGAATCTAAACCACTCCACTTATTATACCTCTCATACATTCAAATCATATCACTTTTCTCCATGTTGTCTAAGAACGTATTGTTCATATACTATATATGATCATATCTTTTACCATATCTGACATTCTGGAAATCTGATCCTGGTCAAGTCATTTAACCTTGGTGACTCAAACTACTCTCTAATATTGTAATAGAACAAATGGCAGTCTGTACCAGTAGATGAAGACTCCTGAAGAGAATTTTCCTCTACAAAAGAAATTAGTGTATTGTACTCCAAATATCTACACATATGTACATGTGTGTTCACATATATACACACATACATATATGTATGTATAATACATATGTATATTATGGAGAGAGAAGGAAAAGAGGGAGAGGAATGAGAGAGTGACTGATAAGAGAGAGAGATTAAAAGAAGCTTTAAGAGCTATAACAAAATTTTATATCCTCATCAAGATTTCCCTTCACTATGCAAACTGGTCCATGAAACAAATCCAGGCCACTGCAAGTGGTTGTATAACCCATTATCTAAGAATGGTTAACATTTTAGTCAGTGGGCTGTAGTTTGCTAAGCCCTGGCCTACGTCAATGAAGTCACATTCAGACCCAAATATGTATACACACATAGGTGTATGTATATAAATTTGTATTATATATATAATCATATATGCATATAAAATACACGGGAGAGAGTACTTTATTAACTCCAAAGTTAATTGCTGCCTCTGCCTTTTTTAGTCAGCTGAAGCATAAGAGCTTTGGCTACAGCTCCTTATTTTAATCCTGGGTATGTCTTGCTATTTCAAATGTGTTTCTTGTAAACAATACAGTGTTGGATTCTGGTTTCTAATTCATTCTATCATCCACTTCCATTTGATGGGTGATTTCATCCCATTCTCATTCACAGTTAGGATTGCTATATCTCAATTTAATTTCTAAGCAACACAATTAAAAAGTGTTAAGCGCACATTATACCCAGAGTACTCTTCTGTGGGCTGAAGAACATAACAAGGTAGGTGTAGATAGAAGTCATGGTTAAAGTATCAGTTAAACTAGAACTGACATGTAAAGCTTGGTCCCCACAGGCTCCATGCAGCCAGCAAAACTTCCCCCTGTGGTCTGAAACAAATTGATGTGTAATAGGGATATGTTTAACAAAATGAATAAAACTATTGGATATTGTGGATTTGTGCGATATGTACAGGTCAAAATACAATCTGCAAGGATCTATTTCTATTTGAGTTTAACCTCACTGGATCAGAAAACCACAAAGGTCTCTTCTTACTGATATTCCATGATTCAAAGATAAAGAACATATGATAACATGAGCACCTTTGACTTATAGCCCCTTTTCCTTTTCTTCTTCTTCCTCTAACACAACAGCACTGCACAAAAATCGTTGGCATATGTATTGGACTCATTTGGTCCTTCACTAACAAGATTTGTAGAACTCAGTGAAGGAGAATCTATGGTACAAATCGCAGGATGTCGATTTTTACCTTAGAGACTACTACCTTGAATAGTTGTTAAGTAGAGAAATTCCAGTGCTACAAGGAATCCTCATTCTCCATAACTGACCTGAATGCTACCTTCTGCTTCTGACATTGACTTGAGTTAGAGGAATTGTTCACTAATGGATTAAGCAACAAAAAATTCATGTAAATTTCCTGAAATAATAATATCCATCAACATACATATAGCAATGAGGCAGATGTAGTGTTTTGAGCTTCTCCTATGGACTGGAAAACCAAAGTATGATAGTCACAAAACTTGTTCATGTCCTCTTGGTTTTTTTTTTCTATTTTAAGTGTTGTGTTTCTTTTTTTTTTTTTAAGACATAGAATGCTTTCAAAAACCTTCTGTCTTGGGATTGTTTTTCTTGCTACAACCACAGTGGGGACTATAGCAAACTTCTTCCTTTTTACCTCTTATATGTTAAATGTCCTTGCTGGCCACAAGATGAGTTCTTTAATATTTATTTTCACCCAGCTGAGCTTGGTGAACTTCACCATGCTTGTTAGCAAGGGAATCCCACAAATATTACAGGGTCTGGGGTGGAACTATTTCCTGGATGATGTTGGGTGTAAAGTTGTATTCTACCTTCGCAAAGTGAGTGAAGGCCTTTCAATTTCCTTGACTTCCCTGCTGTGTGCCTTGCAGGCCATCACCATCAGCCCCACTAATTCCAGGTGGACAGAGTTCAAAGTCAGAACCACACAACAGACCATTCCCTCCTATCTCTTCTGTTGGATCCTCAATCTGCTGATAGAAATTCCTGTACCAATAGCTGTAAGAGGCCCAAGAAGCAGCAGTAACATTACAAATACATTTGATAGTGTGTTTTGTACTTCAGAACACATTACAGATGCTTATATGATAATAACCACTTTCAGAAATGTGTTTTGTTTAGCGTTCATGGTCTTAGCTAGTGGCTACATGGTGCTTCTCCTACACAAACACCACCAGCATGTCCAGAAAATTTGGAGCACCAACCTCTCACCCAGAAGGCACCCTGAGATCAGAGCCACCAAAACCATTCTTTTACTGATGAGCACATTTGTCAGCTTTTATGCACTCACCTCCATTTTTACTCTTTTTATCAGGTACTTTGACAAAAAGTCTTCTTGGATGTTGCCTACTGCTATCTTCCTGTCACTGTGTTACCCCACCATCAGCCCCTTTGTATTGATTCCTAGAGATCTCAGGAATCTCTTAATTTTCTGGGTCAAAAAAAATATTCATTCTTACACTGCTCTCAACTGCAACCATGGAGGTATCTACAGAACTTCACTCCCTCCTACCAATAACAGCCTCCTGAAAGTTCTTGGAACTGGGAACAAGACCCCAAGAGGCTTCTAATCTAGAAAGATCATTATGATAACATTAAAGTCACAGGAGAGCTTAAACAGACCTCATACACCCTATAACAAAACCTAAATACAAAGAAGGATGCCTCTGGGGATAAGCACAATAGGTTTAATTTTTCTTCCATGTGACACCCTTTCAAATAGGTGAAGATGACCATCATGTTCCCATTTAATCTTCTCTCTTCTAGACTTAATATCTCCATTCCCTTTAAGTGATCCTGATATGTTCAGGAAGACACCTACTATTCTGGTTACCTTCTGCCTGTAGTTTTCCAGTCTTTCAAGAATTTAACACAATGTGGAATATGATACTCCGTAAGGCAAAGGAGCTTGGATTACAACCAACGATCAATTACTCAGCAAAAATGAGCATGATCTTTCAGGTGAGGAGATGGATATTCAATGAAATAGGGGACTTCCAAACCTCCCTGATAAAAAGACCAGAGCTCAACAGAAAATTTGATCTTCAAATACAAGATTCAAGACAGACATAAAAAAGTAAACTGGACAGAAAGATCCAACATATTGTTAATAAGGACAAACTGTTTACATCCATACAATGCAACAGTGTAACTCTTGAGAACTGTATTGTTATTACACAATGTTAAAGGGCTATACATAAAGGGGGTGGATATAAGTTGACTTTGATATAATGATTAAAAAAAATCTAATCAAGTGGGTTAAAAGGATCCAAGTAAGTAGATTAATCTGATCTAAGAAAATGTACTGAGAGAAAAGGAAAGGAAGAGGCAGATAAGGGTAAATTACATTACAGGAAAAGGTATGAAAACCTATTACAGTAGAGGGAAAGAAGGGAGGGAGATGAGCATTGTTTGAACCTTACTCTCATCAGATTTGGCTCAAGAAGGGAATAACGTAATCAGTTAGGTAAAGAAATCTAATTTGCCCTATAGGCAGTAGGAGGGAAAAGAAGAAAGAAAAGAGAGGGGGAATAGAAGGTAGGGAATAATTTGACACAACGCCTCATATGTAGTTTGAACAATATATATCATGATTGCCTTATCACACCCACCTAATCCTTGATACTATACTCCTCAAATTGCAATCCATGAGCAAATTCTGTTTTCTGGCTACCACATCATGTAGGTGACTTATTTTGAGGGTTTAAGCCATGAAAACCCCCAACTCTATTTTTATGTACTGCTGTCTAGCCATGGGAACTTCATTTTCTCTTTCTAAAGTGGAATTTGGAACCTGTGATCCTTTTACATTTCATATTGTTATGTAAAACTGGGGACATTCCCCACACATAAACCAACAACAAATATTCTCCAGGTTCAAAGTGCTATCTGAATGAGCACTCCATCAAATCCACAGTGCATGAGCACAAACCAAAATGTTTATTTTTATCAGCCAGCCAAAAAAAAAGTTTCAAACTCAATGGCATTGAATAAGAAATGTATTATAATATTTTTAAAATCTTGACATGAAATGAAAACAATGAAGGAAGGACCCTTTAAAATGTTAAATATGATGACTATGTGTGAATAAAAAAAAAAGGCCTGAACTGCCCAGCAAAGGAACAATTTGGTATTTTATTATTATTTCTGTAGATTTAAAATGATTTCTTATTATGTTCATAAAGGCAAAGATGTTTACTTGAAGTTAAATTATTATTCCAAAAAAATATGCTGGATCACATGACCAACAAGAAGGTAGAATGGAAGCTTTATGTAATGTCTTCAATGTAAAACAAAATAAAGTAATTAGATGGCAGACAATATTATGATTACAGCAGATTACTTAAGGCAAGAAGACAGAAACTCCCACTCACACACAAGGTTAAAACCAAGAAAGAAAATTCGACAATAACACCAGAAAACTTTAACATAGAGTTTTCACTCCATGCCACTGTCCCAAACAAATCTATACACCTGCTACAATGAACACAAGCCACTTCTTAGGTTTGTTAGTGGGGACCTGAATGTAAGAATCTCCCATGACTGTGGTATCTCTACCTGAACACCTACCCCAACCTTACCCCATCCCACAAAAACCGGGAGACATTGATTCTGCCCAAACATGTGAAGCAAAAGAAGAGAGGGGAATGGAGGAATAACATGTAGTGACAGCAACCAGGGCTTTCTCAATGGGAGCAGGGTAACTCAGGTCAACCAAGAGAGAAGTTCCTGGATCTCATCCATGAGGAATCTCCCCAAAGTCCTTAAAGTAGCAAATTGGGAATAGGGACATGATGACAACTGCCTGTACCTCTCATGTCTTCCCAGAGTCTTTTCCATCAGCAACCTGAAGTGTGATTGGCCTATCCCATCTTCTACCTCCAAGCAGGAAGCCAACTCAGTGCTATGCTTGAAGACTTACATAGTGACAGTTCCTGAGCATCATATCTCTGCTATCCAATAGACATCTACTCACCTCTTACGGCCATAACATCATCTCATCTGGGTGTTTCTTTTCAATAGTCCATCCCATTATCTTTGTCTCTGGATTTTTGGTCACACAGTTGTTCTCTGCTATCATCTGGGCTTTAGTTCGTCAGTACCATATAGGGTTTTCTGTTCAATACTAAAGTGCATTTCACAGAAAGGCCCTCACAGGTGCAAGTTGACTCTTTTTAAATAAATAATCAAGACTACAAGTCACCTGACCTATCCTCATAGGTGGCAACAAAAACCTAGAACAATACTGCCTGTGATCACCTGTTAATTTGTGTGACCCTGCTTAGTGATGATTTCAAATTGTCATGGACTAGGCCCGGCTCAAACTGTTCAAGTGCTGCAGGTTCAAAATAGAAACTAAACGAGATTCTTATAGACCATTGAACAGTTATCACAAATATGTTTACTTAGCCAGTACAGAGAAAGGATATTTAGCAAGGATACAATAAATGAACAGAACTTTATTTACTACTTACTATGTGTAAAACTCTGTGCTAAGTTATGAGGTACAAAGAAAAGAAAACAAGTCATTCTCAGAGAGCTAAGGTTATTAATGAGGTGTGACTACCAAGGCTGATGAAATCTTGCAAAATGATAAGGTTCCTCAAGGCATGAAGGAACTGTTCAAAGGAAGGAAGCTGGGTTGGAAATAAGATTGATGGAATCTCAAAGGATGATGAGGTTCTGCATGAGCTTTCTAGGGGCATAATAGAGAAGTGAAAAGGAGTTCAACTGAATTTGGGTCAACAACCCAAAGCATAAGTCATTAGGACCAAAGAAAGCAAAAAAAAAATATTCTCAATATGGCAGGAAACAGGAAGTGTTGCAGTACAGACCTAGAAACATACCGAACATCAAAACAGGAGGAGTTAGAAACACAGCTAGAGGATGAGAAGTCTCCCAGAAGAATATGATAAAGTGAAAAACCTGGATGCTAAGAAGCCATTGCTTTTCCTTTTCTAGGGACATATGTAAGCTAAGGACTTTCCCAGGTCTCAGTCTGTCTGAGGCACCACCTAACAATCAGTGAGTAGTAGTAGCTGTCCCACAGGGGACTGAACTGGGGTTTGCTATCCAAAGGTTTGGACAATTAAGAGAATGATATAAGACCAAAAGGTACTGCCCAATTTTTAAAAGTAGTGAAAGAATGTAAAAATAGTTTAACAGTACAAACTATTAATAAACAAATGACTTATATAAACTATTAATAACCATATATTTCAAACCACTAGTAATAAGAGAAATACAAACTAAAACAAACCTGAAGTTCAACCTGAGATTCAAAAAATTGAGAGATGAAAAAAGACAAGCATAGTCAATGTTGAAGGAGTTATGGGAAAATAGGCAAACTAATTCATTGTTGTTGGAGATGTGAATTGGTACAACTGTCCTGGAAAGCAATTTGGAATTATGTAAATAAATTGACTAAAATACCTAGAACTTTTTGAATAAGGGATTCCAATAGCAGGATTATAATCTATGAACATCAGTGACAAAACGAAAGCCACTGTATCCACAAAGATATTTATAACTCTATATTTGTTGGTAATAAACTGGAACACAAAGTCTAGGGAACAACAATCACAAAAAGATCAAAAGTGAATATTAAGACCTTAGAAGGTACAAACTTGTCCCAAAAGAAGTTGAATGAGAAGACACTTTCCTTGCTCCTTTTTAAAGGGTGGAGTCCATTAATGGAGAATGATGTATAAAATATAATCTGTATTAATATGTTCTTCAATTTTGCTGATTTTTTTATCTTCTACCTAAGAGTTTCTGTTATTCTGGAAAAGAGGTAGCAACCAACCACACCAGGTCTCAAACTTCCCTGTTTTGCCCTCTGTGAATGACCTTGTCTGACTCTCCCAGAGACTAGAGAAAAGTTTTCCTTCCATCTGCTAGCACTTGCTTACTTTGGGGGGAGGGAGAGGCTTGGGAGAATTGTCATTCATCAGCATTAATTGTGGATAATTTTTAGCACCTGGGACAAAAGTTTCTTCTTCCTCAGAGACATCAACGACTCCCAATATAGATAATGTCACTTCTCTTCAATTTGATCTTCTAATCACAGCTCTGGGGGGAGATAAACTCAGGTTATCCCATAGCTATAGCTATGATAAGACTACCCTCACTCCCATGCCTCCACAAACATACATGGGGAGCAGCGGCCCTTCCTTCATCTATCCAAGAAGCAGAAACCAAAATAGGTAAGTGATTTTTTCATTTCTCCTAGAGAAGAGAAGTATTCACAGGACAGAATATATAATAAAGGGAATGATAATATCTCTTTGCTCTGGTCAGACCATATTAGGAGGATATTTTCAATTCAGGACCACTTATTAGAAAGGACATTGGAAACTAGAACAAATTCGGAGGCAGATGATCACAATTGTGAAGAAATTGAGGTGGAATGATGACTGTGCTGGAAGAGCATGAATTAAAGTAACAGGGAATGAATAGCCTAGAGAAGAGCAGGCTTTGAGTATAAAAAGAGACAGAAAGGTAAGAATAAATGTCTTTATTTGTATTTTTAAGGAGAGCTGTCTCATGGGCATGTTTCCCTCACTTACTT